AGCATCAATACATGCCTTCAAACTAGAATTTCAAATTAATTAGAATTTTGTGATTACAATAACATTCTTCTCACCTTCGTTTCTTTAAATTGTTTAATGATTTTAGATAAGATATTATATTACATTAAGTTCGAGAATTTAGCATAAGATTTGCCAGTCAGGTAGACAGCCAATGGATATTGTGTGAATACGATCTAGTCACTTGTATCTTTATTCTATTATTTTCTTTACCCAACTCATCCTAGACATCCATATTTCATATTTTGAAATTAGTCTCCCAAATACTGATATTTTGGTCCCTCAAATCTTTCGACTAAATTGCACTTAGCTACCCTATTATTTCCCAAAAAAGCACTTACATACCCCAAGTTTCAAAATTGAGCAAAAATATACCCTCGATTGTTCACAGTGTGAATTTTCTTAGCATCGTTAAATTTTACATGAAAAGACAATCATACCCTTCTTCTCCATTAACCCCCACAGTAAAATACTCTTAAATTTTATTGTTACCTACAAAATCTTCAAATTCTCCATCCCCCCAAATCTACAATGAAAAACTAAGGTTTTGTGTCTCTCATACATAACTCTAGCAAGCATAAAGGTTGCCCTTAGAGGTGTTGGGGTTCATGCAATTCTAAGTGCACTAAATGGCAAATCAAGTCTCTAAAAAATATACACACTTATGAGAGGGTTTTTGAGAATAATCAAGCTACATTTATATGGTTTACCTCCTCATGATTAAAGAGAATCCAACATAGAAGATTAAGACATTTCAAGCTAAAATCTGACTTAAAAATTTAGGTGTAGCAATATAAAGTGACGACAATGAGAAGAAAATTTATCTGTGATTGCAAAACTTTGAGAATTTAAGAAGATGTTGATGAAGAAGATGATGATAATGAAGGTGAAGGGAGGAATGTTATTTAATAAGGAGAAAGGGGTGGTAGAGTTATAATTAATACAAGAAATGAGGGTAGTTGGCACTAAAAGTTAGTCACATGAGGAGAAGGTGGGACTATTCTCACGGTTGCTTGACAAAATATACCAAGTTACACTTTTTTTACAGCTGAGGGCATACTTTTGCTCTCTTTTTGAAACTTGTGATATACAAGTGTTTTCCCGGAAACAATAACATATTTAAGGGCAATTTAGCCCAAATCTTTAAGTGTATTGGAATACTCTCTCAATTTTCACATAGGGTATTTAAGTGCAATTTAGCCCAAATCTGAGTGTTTTAAAAACCATTCTCCCCAATTTTCATATTTGTAATTTGTCCCCCAAATCTTTAATTTGTTTTGAAATTAACCCCCCATATCTTTCAATCGGTAGCCAACTAGAAGAACTGATTTCAAAACATTTAAAAGAATTGGAGGGACTAATTCAAAATATAAGGTCTAGGGGACTGATTTAAAAATATGAAAGACTTGGAGGACAAATAAGAAAAAAAACCCAAAAGAAAAACCAAGCTTGTAAAAAGCTCGTGATTTTGTTGGCCTCTTACATCCACAAAACACCAAACATCATGAACAGTATCTGTGAACAGTTACTTTTTTTTTAAATTTGTAACTGATAAAACATCAACCTCTCCGGGTCGGCATTATTCTCTTCTCTACCCTCTCATCGTGCCATTCTCTCATCCACGTTGCCGCAAGAATATCTTTGAGAACTTAAAGATAATGATTCAGAGTAGATGCCCTTGTGCTTAATCGGCAAGTTTGAGCATTGAATCAGCAACATTCACTTGTTCTTGAGGTACAACTACTTTTCTTTCTTTTTCTTTAGACGTTGTAGTGTCAATGTTGGTGATGGTGCTGGCTTGTTAATTATTGTATTTTTGTGTTTTTTAGTCTCAACTATGTCTCTGTGTTAAATTCTTGATTTCATATGAATTATCATTTTTGTAGAATTTGAATGGTTGGTCCTTAATCTGAATCTTAAATTTATTTTGTTATAAACAATGGGAGCTCAAGTGTAAGACTATGATATCAAAATATGAAGAAACATAGTCATGATTGCACCTACTATTCAACAAAGTTCAAACTTGTATTAATACAAAAAAATTAAAGCTTAAAAAATGCATTGACTGTTCATTTGATTATCTCTAAAGATGATGTTGATCCTCAGCAAGAACGATTTCTTCGATTCTGGGAGTTTGCCGAAAGAATGACCGGACAATGTTTTTAAAACTATTTTGTTACAAACAATGGACGCTCAAGTGTAAGACTACTCGATATCAACATACGAAGAAACGTAGTTATGATTGCACCTACTATTCAACAAAGTTCAAACTTGTATTAATACAAAAAAAATTAAAGCTTAAAAAATGTATGGACTGTTCATTTGATTATCTCTAAAGATAATGTTGATCCTCAGCAAGAACGATTTCTTCGATTCTGGGAGTTTGTCGAAAGAATGACCGGATAATGTCAGAGATTGCACCCAAACTACAGATTCGTAATCAAATCCTGATCACTAGTAGGAACCGATGAAATTCCATCTGGCATGGAAGGAAGAATTGAATAGATTGATGTACATTATAAGCAAAAATGTAAACTTTCTATGATTCTATCTATCCGGTATGTTATTTGATCAGTTCTCCAATGTGGCGTGAGATAATGCTCGTGGAAAGTTATAAAATAGCGTGGGTAGGCGCTCGTGGCGAAGAGAAAGGAACCCCAACATCGAGATAGAGATGCGAGAAAAGCACTGATTTTTTTCCTTCTGAAACGTAAAGAAGCGACAACCATGAGATTATTTTCTTTTAGAGACCCATATTCCCTTTTCTTTTTATTTGTTTTTTCCTTTCTGTTTATTTTTTCCCAATGTGCCCTCAACAAAATAACAAATAGATGCCACATCATCTAGTGAGATTTGAATCCATCTAGTAGATCCAGTGGCCATAAAATTAGGTGGACAAGAGCTTCTATCCACTTAAGTGGATAGTACTATAGTAGCTCATCTCTCTCTCCCTATCTTTATATGTGTGTGTATATATATAAAGAGAGCATATAAAGAGAGAGAAACATAGTTATGCTTGGTACCAAACACTAAACTGGTTGTTTGGTAGTGAGGAGATTCATACTCATCCACTCATTAAAATGGGGGACCATTTTCCAGTGACCGCGAATTATATCTTACTATATAATAATATAATATTATTCTATACTTATGATATCTAATATATCTATAATATATTATATATATATATTATTATATATATATTATATATATATATATATATATAATATAGCAGACTGTGCTAAATGTTGGTGTGCCTATGCACAAATGGGTATGCCTTCTGGTACCAAGCATAAAATGTGGCAAATTGTGGTTTATTTTCATATAATATATATATATATATATATATATATATATATATATATATATATATATGCGTGTGTGTGTGTGAAAATTGGGTATGCTTGGTACCAAGCATAAACTTGGTGGCAATGTGGTTCATTTTCATCTACTCATTCAAATAGTCCCACTTGAAATTGTTCTCCCCCTTAATTAATAACCCCACTTGATACATATATCGAGAAGGCTTATTTGATCCTAGAGCATAACTAGCTCAGTTATGCTAACCTTCAAAACTACGTTATGTGCGATTAATTTGCTTGATCCTTTATGTTCATTTCAATCAATATGTACTTGGATGGTATATAAACAAAAAAAATAGGTATATCTAGTTATAGTTACTCAACCATCAAGTGATTGTAAAACTGGTTTTACGACAATACAACTAAAGAATAATGAAAAATATGTTAGAAATATTAAAACATCATGATTTTTGGTTCATAGATGTTTTGAGACATTTAGAATCTTAGATTATGACTAATAGAGCAGATCATCCATTGGAATAGCCTAACTCATGCATCAAGATGTCTCTCCTATTTTGTATATCTTTTTAGATGTTTAGATCAATATGAACAAAGTCGATCTTCAAATTTCATTCTATGATACACATTTTAACAAGTGGGCATAACTAAGCTAGTTATGCCCTAGGAATATGCGTGTGTGTTTGTGTGTGTATTTGAAATTAATAATTTACATGGGATCATTATTATTTTCTAATTCGTGTGTTATTAGAATTAAAAGTCCTCTCACCTTTTTTAAGTTTCTTTAGTATGTCAATTATTATAAATGGGAAACTGCATGTTTTCAAACTAGGCATTCAACAAACCTTTTAAACTATAGTTTTGAAATTGGGTATGGATTGAAATAAACCTAACCCATGTATAAAGAGTTTCGAGAAATAGATATTAACGATACTTATACGTCTAAGTACACATCTGAATAAATGGATGCATATTTCCAAGGAGTGTCCATGAAGTTTCGGTATGGGCACATGTCAGGTATGGGTACGGCTTTATGGTAAAAAATGGATGCATATTTCCAAGGAGTGACCATGAAGTTTCGGTATGGGCACATGTCATGTATGGGTACGGCTTTATGGTAGAAGTCCTAGGTAAGATAGATTGCAAGTTTTATGGCTACAAGATACTAACACTAGATTGTATTAGATAAACATCCAAGATCATGCCCTGAGACTTCTAGCCAATTTCTTTAATAAATTACTCGTTGTACATGACTACTCATACTTTTCTGACATTTAAAAAAGTCTAGCCCATGTCTGCATATCATAAGCCACATATCATAAGCCAGAAGATTTCCCAGAAATTTAGGATTCCTGAACAAATGATACTAGTATCCCATGCCCACATAATACCAGATAATAGAAGAATGTAACTAATACTCCAGTCTCACGAGTCATGAAAGTGAAACATATTTTACAGTTTGTCATTGAAGCCATAAATCGAATGATTCAAATCTAATTGTATCTACAGGAATTCAAGCTAACAAGTAAAAAAATCTTTATCACTAGCATGTAAATTTCAACTTGTAGAATACTTTCTATATGAAAAAGAAAGGACAAGGGAGAAAGCAGCATGATATTGATATAGAACAGAGAATATTAATTGTGCAATATGAGAGCAAACCTTTGATTTGTATTCGAATTAACCAACACAGTGTTTACATGTAAGATAAGATCTGAATTTGCATTGTCACACCCATCATTGAGAACTCCAACTGACGGGTTGGTTAGAAACCGTTTTGGATTCAACGTATCAGAATACGTAAATTTCGGGTTGCATAATTGGAATGTCTCTATTATGTCTTTAGTCAATCTTGACACCAACTGCATGCAAAGAAAAGTAGTTCAACATATGTGAAACAAAAACAGAACAGACACCGCAGAATAAGCAAAGTATATCAGTATAAAGTTAAGCTCTGGATGGCATGATATGACTAATTATACCATTATGCATCTAACAGTAAACTCCTTGACTATGATAAAAATGACTTATAATTGTTATTAAACACATAATATTATATAAACAGAATTTAGAAGCCTTTTTTAAACAGACTTTTTTTATTAGTGTTGCAGGCTGGAGTTGTTCAAACTCTCATAATTCATCCCAACATTTTACCACCTGAACAGTACTAATGGTAAATTATGAAATTTAATTGTGGGAGGTGTCTCTATCCCAGAGGGATAGCCGCATTTCATTTATAGTATAGCAAATAGCATATTACACAATCTTCTGATATGGGACTAAACAATCTTCTCTAACTTTCCTAATGTACTAACCCCCCAAATACTCCATCTCAAGCTGTGACTTAATCAATCATGCTCAACTTGTTACAAAAGTGAACACAATCCTTTGTGAAAAACAAGCGACAATCTACCTTGTGTGAACCAAGTAGTTATCATTTCCAATCTCCACCGATAGTTGGTGCTTTTTTAGATGGAACTGGTGGACACTGGTAAATTTTCTTTGTTCCTTCTTCTTTTTCTTTTTTCCTTCTTTTTTCTCCCCCACCCCACCCCACCCCTCCTTTTTTTTCCATCAAGAAAATGTGCACAGCTTTGTCCAAAATTTCATCAATATATATTTGGTC